AGGAGAGTAAGAGAGTGTCTCCTACTAAGGTGATATTGTTGTAAGTATATAATTATTTTTATAATATAATATTTTATATACTTACCGATCACCGCGTTATTAGACGTCCTCCCGTTAGCGATATTGATTTGTTAWATTATAATATATGTGTATATTCACTCGCATCGATTAAGCTTAAAATGGTTCGTAGTTAATAAATACACGGTGTGAAAGCTTCTGTGGGTTTAGATTGCGTGTTTAGATGACAAAAATAAATTACCATTCAATCAATTATTAAGTTAGATCTCGTTATTACTTTCGGTGAACCCAAGCGGTAGCGGGCCTAAATAAGCTTTAGTAAAATCATTGTTTGAATATTATATAATAGTAAAATATTAACATAATAATAATTATTATTATATTGACACATAATATGATGATTTTTTCTGCACGAATTTTTTATTTGCATCATCGAATCATGTCTTATTAGACGTAAGCACCCCACTGCACGTTGGGCAGGTACTTGGTGCCGTTTTATTTCTTATCCATGCGTGACGGGTTTTCAAAAATATAGCGAAACAAAATATTTAAATAGTAAGTAATTATATTTCAAAAAAATAATTAAATCATATAAACAAAAAATTATAATAAAGGCATCAACAACAATATTGTATACATAATACAAAACAGAGTTCGGTAACAGTATTATACTTTTGGAGTATAAAATAATATATAGTTTATCTATATATATATACGMTACAATATTTATTTCTGATAACACCTATACGTCTGTCTAAGCGATATCTAAATAATTATAATAATTAATAAATTTATACAAAAACGGTAAATTTACCGTAATTGTAATGAAAAAAAAAAAACAACAAAAACAACAAAAATTGCCTTTTCGTATAAAGATGTATAATATATGATAATATAATATAATAATGATTGTCTCAGTGCCGAGCATTCAACGGACGTTTTGAAATAGAATTCGTAACGTGTACGGAATTTTATGTCATTATTGAATGGCGATCTCGGTCATCGTTCTATTATAGTTATACCGATCTATAGGTCGGATATTGATGTGAAACGGACGAAAAAAATGTGAAAAAAAAACCGCAACAGCCGAACGCGATACGTGCCAAAGTAGGGGTATACACATATAGAAATTTCGCGATAACAAAAATAACAATAAACAAAATATAAACATAATATTATAATATATTAGTATATACTTGCTTTGGCAACGAGTGATGGCTCGGGAAGTCGATGATGTTTTTTCCGAAATCGTTTGTAGGAAGAAAAAAAAATGAATTGTGATCAACGTGTAGTACCCTACCTCTATCATACTTATTGTCATCACTATTATTACTATTATTATTATTATTGCTGTTGATTAGATTGTTGGTTGTGTACAGAGATTATATAACATAATATTATATAGCTTCTGCAGAAATAGTATTATTATTATTATTATTATAGCGGTACATATATTATTATAGTATTATTATATTATATAGCGGTGGTTTGCGTGTTCGGCGACGTCGTCATCAGTACGTACCGTATGAAGGGTAGCGGTCGGAGTGGTAGTTGTGCGGGTAAATGTTCCTGGGCGATATGCCGTATGTGTCTCTGGAGATTGGCAGGTAACGGTACCCGGGTGTGTTGATTCTGTCGGACGGGTGCTTTGGGTCGTCGTAGATGGACTTGTAGCTGGGCCATGTCGGGTAGTCGGCGCTCAAGATTGGCCTGAACACTCCCCTGCCGGGGGTGTGGTAGTGTGTGATTTCCGGTGCCCTCATGTCGTCGGATCCTGTTCGCGGACGGGAACAAAAACGGAAACGATATGGTTAGAACGCAGCAATAGGATTATCGATATTGATTAGGTATTACATCCATCGTTTATTGTTTTTTTTATACTTAGATGATCGGCAATAGTACCAGATTTTTTTTTTATTTCGTCGGCTGTTATTATGCTATTGTTTTAACTATGATTCGTGTACGTTTTTGTTTGGTAAATATTGAGTTCAGGAGTGATCCGGATACCCACTGATAAAAATCAGTAAGTGGTAAAATCGATAAGGTGTTTTAAATGGCGGTTGTAAATTCGATCCGGTTTTTTATCAGGTAAAAATTGATAGACCTGTTAACTCGGCTCGAATAAAAATAATATTCTCAAATATTTTTGAACCTAATTAATAATTATCTTAGAATATTTATGAGATGCATTCATCATTACTGAAAGGACTCTACGGGGCGGTGATTAAATTCGTGTAAATAAAGTGTACAAATTCGTTATAGCAGAATTAAATTACATGAAAGCATACACGTTATATACGTTACTTATAATTATTTTCAGATGAAATTATGTTTGCTACAATTTATCAGTGAAAATTATCTCATCAAATTTACGATCGACCTTTTTTATTATCTGAAATTTCCGGGCCGAGTTCACAATAAAAAAAAGGAAATCGTGGGTTAATTTTACATTTGTTCGTTTTATAACTACCTTTACTGGGGAAATCGGATGCAATAGGTGTCATATGTTTACCGTATATAGTTAAGGCTGAAACACGATTGCCATTTGAATATAACACGCGCTTACATCCAAAGGGCTAGCGATTTGCATTTATTGTTATACTATCGAAACATTCGAAACATTATTGAAAATCTTTTATAGTGCAATAAATACCCATTAGTGTATGTTAAGTTGCCTATTAGAAGAACGTTTAGGGGAAAATTATTCGAATCAAAAACGTGGTTATTTGATCATTCGTCTCGGAATGTTTTGTTTATAAAATAATTTCCCGGCGAGCGACACTATACTATACAATAGATATAAATAGATTTTATTGAGCATTTCGGTTTCAGGGAGTCGATTCGATTATTGTAATAAAAATTGAATTATTACTTAATGTACCATAGCGAACATTTGGCTCGAGTCGTTTTACCTGCATACAGTTATAATTTGTTCGAATCGTGTTTGTATTAATATTWTAAAATAAATTAAAAATAATAACAAGAAGACATGAAATATGTATTAGCCTAGTTTTATTCGAATGGACGTGGTAAAATATTTTAACGATCTCGAGAATCTATTTTAAAATTAAAAAAAAAAAATGTTC